GATATATATCCAGGGGTCGGGCGTCCTTAGTTTTTTTGGTGAAGAGTCGATGCACAACCAGGGGTCCTCACCAGGGGTCCTCATGATTGCCACTTGGTGGGGATGCAGCTACGTTCACAAGCAGATCATCACTCACTTCCAGTGGTCACTGCAGCATATGATAGCCGTGGCTCCTGGGCTTGACGCTCCCAAGTGGACGGTTCTAAGCCCATTTTTTTGCGCTGGCTGGGATCTCGGAAAGGTGACTGTCGCGTTCCAAGAAGCTGCTGAACAGGGCCCAATTGAAATCCCGACCCCGAAGTGGTGGTTGTTGAAATCGCGGTTCCCCACCCACGGTGAACGTTTCTGAGTTGTTTTGGCGCAGGGTGTTCGCACTAATCCAGTGTCCCCCTTTGATGTAGGAAGACCCCTCCCCATACATTTTCCTTTGTGTGGGCAACGGGAAAATTAAACATGTAAGGAGGGTTTGGGCCCAAATTTGGCTGCCTTTCTTTTGTTGTACCCATGGACAAGCTTTTAGGGTTTGTCGGAAGACAATGAAATGATCAGCAACCAATTTTACAGGGCTTCCAGATTACCTTCAGGTGAATACCAATTCGCCAGGCTGATGCATCCGTCAACAACCGGTCGTATTTTGGCGGCCGCTTCCGTTCTATCAAGCCGGGGTTATCCTTTGTATCGGTTGCGAGTGCCACCGTTTGTCTGTGTATGTGTGTGCGTGTGTCGGGGATCTCTGTGTGTTTGTTTTGGGGGGGTCGTCTTCAGGGCGGGGGTTCAAGTTTCAAGCACCTCGCTTGGAGAGTCCCGGGCCGGGGCCTCGGAATCGGGCCCGGGCGGCGTCCCGGGCCCCAAGGCCGATGAGGATGAGAACGAGATCCGGTACTGGGACGAGCTGCGCTACAGGCTTTACAAGGAGTCTGCGCCTGAGAGCCTTACAGCAGCTGAAAGGCTCGCTAAAGTCATGGAGAGGGTCCTCTTTTGTTTTTTGCGCAGTTCTGTGGACATTTTTTTGGTTTGGAGGGGGGTTCCCCCCAGCAAAATTGTGAATCCTGAAAGGGTGGCATTTTCTATCAGGATCACTGAAGTAGCTGAGTAACAGGGTTTTGCCAAAGTTCCGAATTTTGACGCATCGTCTTAACTAAGAGTCTTAACTAACCCTTCATGTAGTGCTGATCCTTTCCAGCACCGAGCACGAGACCAGCAGGGAGGGCCGGCTTTGTTGGACGTGGCATTTGCTTCTTGAAAGCGCTTGCCTGCCGGTGACATGTGGCAGCATTGTCGGCTCTTGCCACGCTGAACGCAGCCCGCATCTTTGATTTTGCGGCCCCACTCCAGAAAGCTATCCGTAACATGGAAGAGCACCGCCGGCCAAGCGGACAGTTGTTTTCGTGCACTGATCACGGGCAAGTGGCCAAGCGTGTATACTGGAGACTTGGCGCATAGGCCCAGTCAAGAAAGACACTAGGACCCCTGCCCCAAGAAGCCTTCCACCTTTGAGAAGGTTCCATATACATGCTCCTGACACTTCAGGAAGCGAGGATCTGAATTAGACTCATGGCAGGCCGAGGCATGTGTTCGGGGATTTCTCGCTTTTAGGTTGTCCGGAGCTTGCAAGAAAGTTTACCTCAAGTCAGAACCCTTCTGACGTTGAAGCCTTCACCACCACTGGTTCTAACGTAGTTGAGTGGTAACTCCTTTGAACAAGCCACGAGTTTCGCCGACCTGGCTTTTCCTTTACCTCGAACCCCGACGCCCTTTGAACCGAACTCCGTGCTCAGGAAGGAGGCGTTTGTCGCCTCCTTTCAGTTGGAGAACTTGCAGGAGCCCTCCGTTGTGTTGTTCTTTCCGCTGGGCAACAGCAGTCAAAGCCCGGGAGGGGAGGGAAAGTCCCAACCATGGAGAAGTGCGGCTGCCCTGTTTGAGGATTTCCTTGGTTCTCGGTGAAATGTGTTCTGCCCATGTTGTGGCGAGCGATTCCGTCGACTTGTTCTATTGTTATTGTGCAGATGTGTTTAAACAACGCTCCCCTCAGTGTAAGAGGGCTTCGCCGTCTGCCATTTTGAATTTGGGTTCTTGTTCTGTTTGGACAACTTTTGTTGCTAAGGTTGACAATGCAGGCCCATTCGCAATGTGTTTCCACAGAAAACTGATGGGGAGCTGCCCAAATGCGTTCCAAGCATTGTGCTTGTGATTTCCAGCTCTTTTGGACAAGTGGACACCCGAATGAGCCTGTTTTTGCTGTAAAGCCTGAAGAGCAATCATCACTTTGGATCTATCTTTTGACCTTTCAGATTTCAGATTTTGGCCAGTCAATCTTCTCCGCGAAACTGGGGGCGAACTTCTTCCAGACCCCCCGGTTTGGATCGGTTTGGCTGGGAGGTGTCGCAAGCGGCTTCAGGAGCGCCAGGTGAAGCTTGTCATCTTCGCGATGGCCGGGGCGCCCCAGCCGTGATCTTTCTTCCACAGTGACCCGGTTGTTTACAGCATTGGACCTAAGTGCGCACACACACAGACATGCACACTGACGAATTTGCACATACACATATACATATGCATATGCATATGCATACACATGCATGCAGACAGACAGAAGACAGACAGAGACACAGACAGACAGACAGACAGAGACAGACATAGAGACAGAGAGACAGACAGACAGACAGACAGGCAGGCAGGCAGGCAGGCAGGCAGGCAGCCAGACAGACAGACAGACAGACAGACACCCACATACATGCATGCATGCATATACATACATACATACATACATACATACATACATACATACATACATACATACATACATACATACATACATACAAACGTACAAACGTACAACACCACAACACCACAACACAACACAAAACAACACAACACCACACCACAGGACACCGCACCACACAACAGAACACAACACGAGACAAGAAAAGACAAGACAAGACAAGACAACACAACACAACACAACAGCTCAACACACAAAACACAAAACACAAGAACAAAAAAACACTTCACAACACAACACAACGCAACGCAACGCAACACAGCACAGCACAACACAACACAACACAACACACAAAGCACAACACAACTCAAAACACACAACACACACACAACACAAAAGACAGCACAAAACACAGAACAAAACACAACACACCACAGAACAAAACACACAACACAATACGAAACACGACACCAAGCGCAACACAAAACACAACACAAAACACAACTTAAAACACAACTCAACACACAACACACACAACCCACACACACATATAGACACACAGACACACACAGACACACACAGACACACACACACACAGACACACACAGACACACACACACAGACACACACACACACACACACAGACACACACACACAGACACACACACACAGACACACACACACATACACACACAGACACACACACCCGCCCGCCCGCCCGCCCGCTGCTGCCGCTTTCGCTTTGCCAAGCGCCGCTTTCGCTTTCGCTTCGCTTTCGCTTTCGCTTTTCGCTTTCGCTGCTTGCCGCTTTCGCTTTGCTGGCTATTGCTTGCTGCTGCTGTCATTGCTGCTTGAGTGGCTTGCTGGCTTTCGCTGCTTTTCGTGGCTTCGGCAGTTTTCCATGGCTTGAAAGCTGCTGCTTTCGCTGCTGTCATTGCTGAGACCCCATTTGAGGTGCTGCTTTCGCCATATGTCACTGCTGCTTTCGCTGCTATTGCTGTCTATTGCTGCTGCTTATGAGACCAGATGATAGACAGATGACAGGAATGAATCTGGGGAAGGATGATGATGACGCAGACGATGATGATGATGCGATGCAGATAAAGATGATAAAGATGTGATGATGCGTGATGCGATGATGATGATGCGGATGAGCGCATGATGCGATGCGCGATGATGATGCGATGATGCGATGCATGATGATGCGATGATGCTATTTATGATGCATGATGCGATGATGATGCGATGCGATGATGTTGATAAGATGATGCGATGCGATGGCGATGCATGATGCGATGATGCGATGATGATGATGTGATGATGTGATGTGATAAGATGTGATGCGATGTGATAGATGCGATGATGTGATGTGATGTGATGATGATGATGATGCGATGATGCACGATAAGATGTGATGATGTGATAGATAAAGATAAGATGCGAATGTGATGCGATACGATGTGATGTGATGTGATGATGCGATAAGATAAGATGATGATGATGATGATGCGATGATGATGATATGATAAGATGATGTATGATAGATAAGATAGATAGATAAGATGATGATGTGATGATGATGATGCGATGATGTGATGATGTGATGTGATATGATATGATGAAGATGATGATGATGTGATGTGATGCGATGCGATGATGCGATGCGATGCGATGTGATGATGCATGCGATGATGATGCGATATGATGATGATGCGATGATGCGATGCGATGATGCGATGCATGATGATGATGCGATGCGATGCGATGCGATGATATGATGATGATGATGCGATGATGCGATGTGTGAGGTGATGCAGACAGATGTGATATGAAAGATGTGATGCGATGATGATGAAAGCTTACGAGATAAGATGTGAGATAAGATTTGAGCAGATGCGATGCGATAAAGATACGCGACGCGACGCGACGACGCGACGCGACGCGACGCGACGCGACGCGACGACGACGACGACGCGACGCTGACGCGATGCCGATGAAGACGACGCGACGACGCGACGCGACGCGCGACGCGACGCTGACGCGCGACGCGACGCGACGATGCGACGACGACGACGCGACGACGCGACGCACGCGACGCGACGACGCGACGCGACGCCGACGAAGACGACGCGACGCGACGCGACGCGACGACGCGCGACGGCGACGCGACGAGACGACGCCGACGCGACGCGCACGCGACGCACGAGATCGACGCGATCGACGACGGACGCGACGGACGACGGACGCGACGGACGACGACGCACGACGACGGACGACGATCGACGACGACGCGATGGACGCATCGACGCGACGACGACGCGGACGACGGACGATCGACGACGGACGATGACGACTTCGACGACGATGATCGACGACGGACGCGACGGACGATCGACGCGACGCGACGACGACGCGACGGGACGGACGACGGACGGACGACGACGACGGACGACGACGACGACGTGGACGATCGGACGCGCATCGACGACGGACGATGACGCACGGACGATCGACGCACGGACGACGACGCGATGGACGACGGGACGACGGACGCGACGGACGCGACGGACGCGACGGCGCACGGACGATCGACGCGACGGACGCACGACGCGACGGACGACACGCGATCGACGCTACGGACGATCGGACGACGACGACGACGCATCGACGACGGACGCACGGACGCACGATGACGACGCATCGGACGATCGACGCATCGACGACGACGACGGACGACGGACGGCGGTGGTCGACGGCCTGACGCATCGACGCAGGACGCATCGACGTTGATGTGATTGATGATGGATGCGATGGATGATTGATCGCGATGGATGATGGATGATGGATGCGATTGATGATGATGCGATGGATGGCTGGATGCATGGATGCATTGATGATGGATGCATTTCTGGATGATGATGCATGGATGATTGATGATGATGATGGATGATGGATGTGATTTATTGATGCATGGATGATTGATGATGGATGCGATGCATTGATGCGATGATGATGGATGATGGATGCGATGATGAATATGATGGATGCGAGATGATCGCGATGATGGTGATGATGTGATGTGGTGTGTGATGTGATGTGATAAGATGTGATAAGATATGATGTGATAAACGATGCGATGTGATGTGATACGATGTGATACGATGTGGTGAGGTGTGGTGATGCGATGTGATGTGATACGATATGATATGATGTGATGCAGATAAGATAAAGATAAGATAAGATAAGATACGATGCGATGTGATGCGATGATAAAGATAAGATGCAGATGCGATGATAGATATGATGATGTGATGATAAGATAAGATAAGATGATGTGATAAGATATGATGATAAGATGATGATATGATGTGATGATGATGATACGATAGATAAAGATGATGTGATTTCAGATGTGATAGATAAGATAAGATAAGATGATGTGATAAAGATAAGATAAGATGTGATGTGATGATACGATAGATAGATAGATAGATAGATAGATAGATAGATAGATAGATAGTGATAGATAGATAGATAAGATAAGATGATAGATAGATATGATGATGTGATAAGATAAGATAGATAGATAAGATAGAAAGATAAGATGTGATAAGATGAAGATGTAGATAGATATGATGTGATAGATTGATATGATGCGATGATGATGAGATGCGATGCGATGCGATGCGATGCGATGCGATGTGATCGCGACGCGAGAACGTGACGCGACGCGACGCGGACGGACGCGACGCGACGCGACGACGACGACGCGACGCGACGCGACGCACGCACAGGACGCGACACGCGACGCGACGCGACGCGACGACGACGCGACGCGACGCGACGCGACGCGACGCCGCGCGCGATCGCCTCGCGATCCTGGTCGTGAGGATCCCCTGCGCTTTCCCGCCTACATCGACCAGGATGCTGGGCAGGCGTGCGAGACGACGCGACGCGAGACGACGCGACGCCGCTGACGCTGACGCACACACTCTCCCCAAAGCGCAGCGACGGCTCGACGACGCGACGCGACGCGACGCGACGACGACGACGCGCGACGCGACGCTGACGCGACGAAAGATCGCGACGCGATCTGAGCGCGACGCGACGCACGCGACGCGAGCCCGCGCGACGCGACGCGACGCGACGCACATCGACGACGCAGACGACGCGACGACGACGCGACGACGCACGCGACGCACGCGACGCGACGCGACGCATCGCCGAAACACGCATCGCAAGACGCGACGCTGGCACATCTACACGCTGTTATCCCACGCGACGTGATTGACGACGCGAGCACACTATTCACGCATATACGCTGCTGTTATTATTCCTTACAATATGTATACGCACGCCACATTCAGTAAATAGATATGTATACATACACGCCAGCATATTATTATTACACCGAAAGTTTTTGATTTAGGGTCAACCAGAATTCTGGCAACGCGGTTGATGCGTTCACGCCATTGAAGGTTACGCAGCCAGGAACGGGTTGAGCAATCGATATTTGTCATGTGAGGCGCTTCCGTTCATCCAATCGTGACCAGAATTATGCACATTTGATTCATCAATAGAAAGCTCCCCAGGTCACATGGGATCATTCAGTTTTGCTGGTGATAAATCTAAAAAGCTATTGATCCAGCAGAGAAAAGTCCACCCGAGGTGATGATGCTCGTGGGCGTCAGTGCCATCGCCATGAGAACCAGCATTGCGGACAAGCTTGTCCGCGAGGCGAACGGGGAGGACATGGCAATTTGGTTGCGTCTTGAACCTTTACAAATAAGGCAAATGTTCGTTTTCCCACAAGCCAGCAAACAAGCGAACATTTTTGTGCAGGGGGAAACAGCCTCAAACGTGAGAGGAACGCCCGGGGAGGGGGAGGAAGGTTTGGGATTGCAAAATTAGGGGACGCGCAAAATGGGCGCCCTCCTTTTGGTTCTCCTTAAAATCAACCCCAAAAGGTGCCATCAAGAAAGATGCAGCGATGCATACTTTTTGTTACAAGTCGGGCTGCGCAAAGGTTCCTTTACGAAAGCACTGGCCACTTGCAATGGAAACCAAGCAGTCATTCTAGCAATAATATCTGGTTTGGGCAAGTTCTGCACTGTTCTTCCTATGTATTTAGTTTTGCTTTTTTGGTTTTGCTCATTTTTGGCGAAGGTTGAGAACAAGAGCTGCGAACCGAACGCCCAAGGAATCTCCATCGTCAAGAGCTGCTTTTTACTCCTCGGGTCAGCATGACACCCAACACATCCTCATGTGTAGAGGCTCCAAGAAGGCCGGCTCAAGATTATGCAGGGGAACACGCCCGAGCTCAGAAGACGGGTCCCGGCACTTTGCAGACACAGACATGTCTCAGGCCGTGCTGGCTTTGGGCGCTGTGCTCATCTTCCTGGGCACGCCCCGCCGCACGCCGATGGCGGTTGGGCGGGGCCCAAAGTGACTTGGGGGCAAGGGAAGCCTTTTTCACATGCAACCTGACCTCTTTCCAATCAGAGTGGACAGGGTCCTTCAGAAGTAGCCTGACCACATCTTCTTGCCTTCTGCTGCTTGTGGCAGCACCCTGGGAAGACCAAAAGTCAGCAACAAATGCAAAGCTTTGGGTTCCCACCGATTTGGACTTCCCCCGGAAAAAGTTGCAAATCCGATTTGGGGCCCCGGTTGGGGTCGGTAGCTCATGGCCCTTCAGTCGCTGGAGGTCGCTAACGGCTCCTGACAATTTGCGGCTGGGGTGCCACGCATGCTTCAGGCGCTTTGAAGGCGACCACGCGGGGATGAATTGCTTTTCTAGCTTGTATTTAAAAAAAAAAAAAAAAAGGTTTTTAGCAAGTCTGGTTGTTTTCGATTGAAACACCCAACCGTTGTTCTGGGGAACGCCGGCGGTTTTGCTGGCGCACATTGCCGGGAGTCTATCCGGACACTGCCTAGGCTTGGGAACGGGCCTCGAGGTCTCGTCCGCCATCCCGAGTCCCACCGCGCCAAGTCTGGGCTGCGGCTTTCTGCGTTTCCCCCCCCCTCGGCCCGCGAAGCCGATCCGGATCCCGGAGCTTCCTTTTTCTGGAGCCCGCCCCGGCGATCGCATTTGAGGACCGGCGAAGGGTGGGGTCATAGTCGTCAAAGGCTACTCTGCGGATGGAACAACCTGCCGAACACGAGATCTTCCCGGGTTCCGTAGTTATTTGGGGCGTCACATCTATTTTCAAGGCCTTCGACAAGTGGGTCCGCTCAGACCGCGCTTTGTTTTTGTGTCAAACACTCAAACGCATCATCTGTTGGGCCAATTTGTTTCAAGAGCATCTTTTTGCGGTGGCGGTCAAAGGAGAAATGCAGTGAGCCCGGTGTTTGGCGTCGACCGCCGCCGACCGCAGCTGCGGGCTCGGCGGAAAACCGTGTTTTTTTTCGCGCCTGCGATCCATGGCGCCTCGTAGAGCTCGACGATGGCAGGGGCTGGGGCTGGGGGGGCCGCCTCCCCTGCTTCCCTAAAACCAAGGCCGTAAGTCTGGCGGGAAATCCAGGAGAAGGGACTTTAGGAGAGGGGGGAGTTCAGTTGCATCCTATCTTCTTGGCGCCCAACTTGGTCCTCCCACTCCGCAGCCTGAAAAGGAGATGTGATGATATTCCTCGGACTCTGCCCCAAACTCTTAAAGCATGTGTACTTGGCCGTGCGTCCGGCAAAGTGACATCCCCGACAATATTACCCTGCAGATATATAGTGCAAAGTAAAACGTCTCCAAGTTGCTAGGATTTTCACCCTTTGGATCAGTTGAGCTAAGGTAGCTAACTGCATCCTGTTGAAAGGGGTTTAGAGCGTACTCAACGGAGCACACGTGCGACTGGTTGACCCAGTGGATCTAGTCGTCTCCTTCGGTAGCCAGGCTGTTTTCCGCATTGTTACATGAGGGCTGTATCTCCGTTGCCTACTATAGGCTCTTAGGGGTAAAGCTGAGGCCAATGAGTCGGATTTCCAATCACCCACCACAACCGACTTGGAGTGTTCCAGGATCCCGACCATCTCCGACCCCTATCACTTATCCGAAGCGAATCGACCTTTTGATCTGACATTCTGACTTTCCGTAGTTGTTCAGATTCGCTCGTGAACTTAGTCATCGGCTCCAACAGCTAAGATTGTATGGTGGTTGGATTGTTCTAACAATACAAGCCCAATGCTCTCCCACAGTGAGAGGTGGGTTTTGTTCTTTGGGCGCTCCACTGATGACTGTGGAGCCTGAAAACCACCAGCCAGGCCGGCAGTCTAAACAATTCAAACGGCAATTCGCGCCTTGCGAGGAAACGCTGTGGTCGTCTCCCATTGGGTTCTTACTGGTTTCCCTGTAAACCACCACCTGCCAGGCCCTCTCCAATGGCTAAAAATGGCCCCCCAACATAGCAAGCCCTTTGATTGTGATTGCAGGCCCTTCAGGTTACTTGGGTGCTAACCATTTGGTTTCTGGGGTCCCCTGCCGGGGGTATATATCCAAAACTCTAAGTTTTCAAATGACTTCAGCTGGAGTTGCTTGGGTCATTTTGAGATTCCTCCGCCGCCCGACCCTTCGCAGGCTAGCGCCGGCGCTGGCGCTCGGCCTGGTGCTTGCCATGGGCGAGGCGCGCGCCGCTTCGAGCAAGCTCCCTATGGGCGAGACGAACTGTCGCGGGGTATTGGTCCTCTCTGGAATATGTTGTATTTCCCCTGTTGGTTTTAAAGGGAATCTATCACTACTGGAAATATTTTCATTTTTCCAGGGGACTTCAGCAAATTGAGGCTTGTGAAGCGGGACGGACAGGTCTGGCGGTTCATGCACGGTGCATGAGCATCGTCCAAGCGCGCCGCAATCGAAACCCAGGCAAGTGAAGCTTAGAAAGAGAAGAGTCCCAACCATAGACGCATTGGATCCGCAACTCGTATCAAGCTCACCCATTCCAGACTGCGGGATTGCACTGGAGAGTGAGAGAGAGAGCGAGAGAAATGGGAGAGGCAGAGAGAGAGAGAGACAACAAATACAGGGTCCAGCATAGTGAAGACCCATTAATTACTTTGGGATTGATTCCTCATTTTCAATTTAAGCACAAGTGACAAAAAGTGACTATGTGTGTAAACTTGCGAGACGAGTCCTAAAATAAAAAGAGCACAAGAATAGACAATTGGCGTTGGGTGCCATTGTCATTGGGAGCAATCTACCCATGTGGCAGGGTCACTGGAGCCAGATTTGGGAGCTAAATTGACTGCAGGGTGCAGTGGTCTGGATCTTAGTGACAGGCATTTGTGGTGAGAAAACGCGTCCAATGGGCACCCAGGATTGATAAGCCCCTTGTTTGTTGATCAGTAGGGGTGTCGTACTAACGAGAATCCATGTGTTTCGTTCTTTTTTGGGGGGGACGCCCGCCGACAGCTTAAAATTCACCGGAGTCAACATTACCTGCCACGCATCTTGAGACCGAGGAGATTTCCAGGTGGCTGAGCAGCTACGCATAGGTACTTGCTACCTACCCAGGCTTGAAAGAACTGCTTGGGCACGTCCGCTGGGGCACGTATTTACTCCTTGATTAGCATTGGCCATATTTGAGCATGAATGCAGGCCCTTTGTGAACCCTGGCACTGATTTGAAAGTCTCATGCAGAGACACCCACGGAAGGCCTGCAAAGGCGCGATGGCAAACCAGATTGACTATGTCAGTCGTTGTTCAAAAGGGGAGCTCGTAAAATTGTTGGGTTCAAAAATGTTCACAAGAGCCCGAACCTCGCGCGGTGCCTTTTTGTCAATCCCTTGCACATCAAGTACCAAACAAGGGGTGCCCTGGAATGAACCCGGGCGAAGTTGGGGCCTAAAAATGCCCCTCATGCATTCCAGCACCCTCCAAACGACCCCGTCCGCCCTCCCCCCCCCTCGTGCCGCCGACTCGTGCCATGGACGCTTGGAGTCGAATGTTGGCACCCCTCAAAACCCCACCCCCGCACCGCATGCGCCGCCAGGCCTTCGCCGGCCTGCGCGCCAGAGGCTGGGGCCTGTGACATGAGCTCGTTTTTGAACAGGGCCTTTCAGGTTCATGTCTGCCGTCAATGAAGGTGGCCAAGTGGCGCTTAGCATAAGGGTTCGACTTCTGGCAATGCTTCAGAACCATCGCTGTCCCCAGGATTTTGACTGGCCCATCGGAGATCCAGTTGTTTGCAGGCTTCTTTGTAGACCTGTTCGATGATCAGTGAACTGGGTTTCCTGGAGCAGGGTGTGGAAAAGTTGGTTTTAAGCTTTGAGGCCGCCTCCTCCGATGCCAAGGGGGACGCGCTAGACAAGAAGTTTAGGGATATTTCGCGCTGCTACAGGTTTTGCCTTTTAGACTCTCTGTCAATGGCCCCCCCGAAAAGAACGACAATAGAACAACAAACAACAACATGTCTAGACGTGCTGGAAAGACACGGTCCAGAGGGCGAACCATGATCCCCGGTTTGTTATCGGTCTCCAGGTCGTGTTCCCAGAGCACGGCTCTCACCCGACCTGATGTTACCTACTTTTTGTCAAGGGACCAAACAAAATTCCCGTTCGCTGATTCACATGGAGCTCCCAGCGAAAGCATCCAACGTCTGGAGGAATCTCCTTTTGGGATGGGTAACTTGCTTGGCTCCTTCCGTTCATTTGCAGCTTCGATGTCTCTTTGGGCCAGCCTCCGAGACCCCAGGCGCGCCGCGGAGTTGGGCTTTGCGGGCCCTACAGCCAGGGGAGATCCCCACAGGAGATGAGCTCCTGGAGGAGGGAAGTCGAAGAGTTGGAGAGGGCCACGACTAA